GACACAGACAACAGGGTGGTAAAGGCCTGGGGCAGAGCAGGACCTGTTTGGAGGGGGGAATGTGGGAAGGCAGGGGGGTACCTGTAATACCCTCCACAATAAAGATTTTTAAAAAATTAATTTTTAAAAAGGCTAACATATAATGATGGAAAAATATATATCATGCACATACTAACCAAGTGAAGCTGATACAGTTTTAATATCTCACACAGAAGAAAAAAATAAGTTAAAAGGGCATTTCATTAATATTAATAAATGGCTCAATTCACTAGGGAGATATAACTTTTGTACTTGTATCACCTGATTACCTGACCTCATATATATAAAACAAAAACTAGCAGAAGTAAAAGGAGAAACAGACAAATCCACAACTGTGTGATATTTTACACACCTTTCTCAATAATTAAGAAAACAATCATAAAAACAAAAGAATTAGTAAGGATGCCAAAGATTTGAACAGCATGGTTAATATGACCAAGTTGATATTTAAAGAAATGCACTCCAGCCGAAACCGGTTTGGCTCAGTGGATAGAGCGTCGGCTGCGGACTGAAGGGTCCCAGGTTCGATTCTGGTCAAGGGCATGTACCTGGGTTGCGGGCACATCCCCAGTGGGAGATGTGCAGGAGGCAGCTGACCGATGTTTCTCTCTCATCGATCTTTCTAACTCTCTATCTCTCTCCCTTCCACTCTCTAAAAAATCAATAAAATATATATATATATAATAAAGAAATGCACTCCAAAATTGTAGAACTGACACTTTTTTCATGTATATATGAAACATTTATAAATTAAGCTGACCATAAATATGCTGGTCATAAAGCAAGCTAAAACAACAAATGTCAAAGGACTGAGATAATTCAGAATACCATCTATGAACATTATGCAAATTAAACTAGAAATCAGTAACAAAAAAATAACCAATAAGGCCCGTATGTTTGGAAATTAATACTTCTAAGCAATGCCTGGATGAAGAAATCACAATGGAAATTAGAACATATTGTGGTGTGAAGTATAATAAAAACAATACATAATAAAACTTTTTAGGTGCAGTCAAAGCCATGCTTAGAGGTAACATTATTTTCAATATATGTTAGAAAAGAAAGAGGCTGGAAGGGAAAGAAAGTCAATGTACTAAGATTCCATCTCAAGAAATCAATAAGAGAACTGCAAATGAATCCTAAAGAAAAGTCCAATGATGAAAAAACAAAAAAGAGAGAGAACACATATATAATAGAGGAGATTAATAATAAAAAACTGACTCTTTACAGATATTAGTACAACTGAAAATCCTCTGGTCAGACTAAACAAGAAAAGGGAAGGCACAAATAACTACCATGTATGAGATGTCATTAAATATTCTAAAGGATGTTAAAAAGTTAAGTGGAATATTAATGAACTTTTTGCCAGTAAATTTCAAACTTTAGACAAAGTCTTAGAAAACTCTAGGACTACTAGGCTACACAGGGGAATTTCATCAAATATTTAAAAACAATTAATAAAAAAGGAACCCTCTAAATTTTCCTTATGAATAAAGCCTTATGAATATAACCAGTACTGAACATGAACATTACAAGGAATGAAAATTACATGTCAATTCTATTCATCAATACAGATGTTACACTGATGAAGGAGAAAATCACAAAAAAATTTTGAAAGCTGGAAAATAAATGGATGAGTGATCGAATGCAGGCTGAATCCTGAGCTGACAGTAGAAGAGCAAATTTACACTATGTAACCCATAAAAAGCTAAAAAATAGCACCACAATGCCCTAGTCAGGTTCGCTCAGTGGATAGAGCACCAGCCATCGAACTGAGGGTCCCAGGTTTGACTCCAATCAAGGACACATACCTTGGTTGCAGGCTAGATTCCTGGCCCTCGTTGGGGTGTGTGCAGGAGGCAACCAATTGATGTGTCTCTCTCCCTTTTTTTTTTTTTTTAATATATTTTATTGATTTTTCACAGAGAGGAAGGGAGAGAGATAGAGAGCTAGAAACATCGATGAGAGAGAAACATCGAT